ATTAATCCAGTCCATTGGCTGATAATTTTTCACAATTTTGGGTAGGATCGAGGTAACTTGGGAATGCAAAGGTGTAGTAGAGGTGGGGGAGTGAATGCAAAGCTCGTGTAAATGTTGTGTATATGAATCAAATTTTCCATCGAAGTTTTTAAATCAGTTGATTGTTAATAAGGGTGTCTTAATATGATACGATTCGATGATACGAAATTAAAAAATTCTAGTTTTATTTAAGTCATTCGTTTTATAAATGAATAAATTCGAAACGACATGATTAATAAAAAAGTCGGTTATGACTAAAGTTAATCAAAAATAAATAAAAATTGTACAACTCATTTTATATGTCAATTATATAAGATTCATATACGATACGAACACTATATATATGCAACTAATCACTCTGTACTGGACCCAAAAATTGCGATAGTGATCCCCAAAGTATTATCTTCACCTTATTTTGGTCCCCCAACATTAGTTCCTAATGTATTCAAATTATTTTTAACGGTTTATTTGTTGTGAAATCAAATGATGACAATAAAGTGAAATTAATGAAAAAAATAATAAGAATGCAATCCAAACAATCATACAACACATAATTTACGTGGTTCGGTAATTTGTCTACGTCCACAACACTGCAAGAATTTCACTATTCTCAAGAAAGAATACAGAGAGGGAGGCGACAATCCAAAAATCCTAATAACCGAATAACAACTTATATATGTCCTGAGCACAGAGCTACAAAACGGGCTCAAACCTCTGCTCTATGGACTAAGTCTCAGAAAATTTCCATTAAAAAATTACGTAATATTTTTCGAGTCGAATTATCATCTGAATCGCACACAAACTAGACTCCACAAAAAAAACACAACATTCTCTACATGTGCTACGTGCCCAAAATGAAGAGCATATTGGACAAATCACCGTCCACTTCACCAAAAAAAAAGGTGTTGTTCATTCCCACCAAGATCCAACTACCTTAGGCTTGTGTCATTCCCTCCTTTCATTTGTAGGTGATGAGTAACAAGAGGAGAACAATACAAGAGTGGGAATTTACAATCTTCTTGCACTGATAGTAGGGAATAAATGACCCCTACTTGTATTGTCCCCATATGCAACTAATAAGAGGGCATTAACATAAACCTCACGACAGTTGGACCTAAGCAAGAATATTTCTCTCTAGGAACTACACTTTATCCAATATACCCTTCATTTAGGGGCACGTGACTTGCATATGGGGAGAAAACTGTTAAAGATTTTGACAACATGGGTGAGGACTACTCAAAATAAATTGAATAATTTAGGAACTAATGTGATACTATTATAAAGTTAGGGGACCAAAATGAGATGGAGAGTATATTTTGAGGACAATTGCCACAATATGAGTCATCACAATCCCACCACCCTTACCGCCACCTCTACCCTTACCCCTACCCCTACCCCTACCCCTTACCCTTATTGCAACCACATCCCCACCCTCCCCAGACTTCAATATTATTGAAAAATTACTTATTAGTAATCTAAATTAAAGAGGATGACAAATTTGAATTTAAAGTAGTTTTTTTTTTTTTTGGAGTGATTATATAAGCCACAAGAAATGATTTTATTTGATGAGATCAATGTGTTGTTATTAAATAATTTAATGTTATAAAATATGTTACTTGAGAAAAAGTAAGTAAGAGTAGTGGGGAGTTTGAATAAGACTTGAGAGTTTAATCAGACAAAGTTTATGAGAAAGTTGAAAATGATAAAGAGAGGGAGAGGGAGGACCATGTGTAAATCAAAATGTATTTAAGTAACCAAAAATTCTAAAAAGCAGTATCTTAGATTTAGAGCTCATATATCTAACTACATTTAAATAGGACATAAAGATTACATTAAGTCGCAACAAGTAGGTCTATTAATCGTGTTAGATGAGACGGCTTCATGTTAGATCTTAACGGATTCGTGTCAAAAAATTTTATACTCATACTCGATTCGTTTATTAATTCGTGTCTATCGGATTTGTGTCGTGTATAACAGATATATAAACAAGTCATATCGTATATTATTTTTTGAGTTGCTTCACAAATACTTAATTTTTTTATTAATCTTGTCGTGTTAAATTTACTCATTTAGTGCACTAGTGATTGAGGAAGACTTCAACCCTCTAACTCTTAGTCCTATTAATACGGGTTCTGATACATCTTGACCCACAATTCCCATCAATAAACAAACATAATTGTCATTCCCACTTTAAGTAAGATTATCCTCTCTCAGTCCATACATTTTCTTTGTTTTTGCCGCTAGTGAGACCACAAGGACACCAGCAACCAAGCACTGTCTAAAACACCAAAACGGTGTCTCACCAGTCCAGTCCACAGACTCTAAACGTGCTTTTGAACCCTCTCCATAACCATCCACCTCTCTCTTGCTTCGTCTCTTTCAAGCTATTTTTTGGAGCCAACCCATTCCAGTCTGTACACCAAAAAAACTAAAATCCAAATCCAAAAGTGGAAAAATCGGTGGAGCTGATGAGAGAAATTGGAAGAAGCAGAGAAAAAACCAACAGTTTTTTTTTTGTTTCCTCAAAGTGTTTTTCTATTTTTTCATGATTGGATTTGGAATGGCATAGAGATTAGTGCATAGCCATGTGATTGGTAGGTGTACAGGGATGGGAAGCCAAACCTTTTCGACAATCATTCTTTCTTCTTTCTCTCACCTTTTCCCCCATTAAAACTCCTCCCCCTCCCCGGTTCATCTTCTCCTCGTCGCCTCCCCCCCCCCTCTCTCTCTCTCTCTACACAGAAGTTTAAGGAGATCTGTTAAATCAACTTTGTTCAGTACTGCACAATTCAAGTTTGTTTGTCAGAGTGAAGGCCAAGGACTAATTCAGCTTCATATTGAGGTACTGTATCTATATGCATATATAATTCTATTCAACTTTTGTATTTGTTGTGTCTGTCATACGAAAGTGAAGAACTTGAAGTTTGATTATGTTCATTTTTAGAGACTTTTAAAAGTTCTGTTTGTCCCATCAAATTTTTTTTTCTCCCAAAACTCTGAAGATCTTTTGTTGCTTGCTTTTGATGATTTAATGTAGTTTGTTGTACTGAATTTTCTTCAGTAATTGTTTTTAATCGTTTGTTCACATGGTTCTAGTTTGTAAAAAGGTGTTTGCCCTGTCACCCACCATCACTCTCACGACAGCAAACCTATGGTCTACATGTTGATGTGCTTTAATTAACCAACTACCCAGACATTGCCTTAGTGTGGCTTCTTCCTTTATGGGTTTTAATCAGTTTTTCAAATTAACAGGTATTCGTGTATTTTAGAGCACTTAAGAGTAATTTTTTCCAGTTACATGCAATTTCTTTATCTCACATCCTCCTAACAATTACCTCGACAAACTTGGGAGTAATCTTAAGAAAAAAATTAAACTTAAGATCTCAAGAAAACTTGAACTTAAGACCTCTAGTTTCGTAAACATGTGCTCCGGGTGAACTTATTTATCTATAGGGGTAGACATTTACGTGTTCTGTTAGCTTGTTTTGACAGTAACGTAAAAATGTCCCCACTTGACGAAACTACCCTTAGAAATGTGAGGTGTTAAGAGTTCTTCAAGTGAACAAAACCACAAACTAACATATATTTGTTCAGTTTGGGTGTTTGAGATGTCTTAAATGCCCTTGATTCTGCCTTTATTGACTCTTATACAATCTTCTCTATAGTGAGGTTATTGTCAAATCATGTATATCAGTGACAAAAGATCACTGTCTTTCACGCCCTCTAAGTCAAGCTCTTTTCGGTTGTATGTCCCACCGTGCAAGTTTGGGTATATGAATATAGGTGTTGGATCTCATTTCTTTGGTCCGTCAACACAATCTTATCAATGATGCTGAAATTATTTTGGGGCTTTTTAAGTTGTTGGCAACCCTATTCCCTATTGGTCCATGGGTGCAAAGTGGTGTTTGAATCTTATCCATGGAAAAATAGTTAGAGTTTTAGCAAAATAATTGTAATACATGTCTCTTAGGGGTTTCTTAGGGGTTGTCCAACGATTAAGTTTTTCCTCTTGCAAGTAATATGTCTTAGGTTTGATACTTCTCGCACCTTCTAAAGATTAGTCATCTTTGTTCCTCAAAAAATATGTACTTAAATTAATTTGAATTATAGTTATCGATTCAAAACTCTAGAAAATAGTCGGCACAAATTTAAATAATCTGTAAAAAAATATTGCAATACTTTTTAGTTAAGCATTGGCAACTTGGCATTATTGATATCTTAAGGAACAGTAATGCTATGCTGATTAAATTTTGGGATTAAATTTGAAGCTCAAATGACTTGACAACATATTATTTAGAGTTTTTATTGAGACCCAAATGACATGACACCAAATAAAAAAATCAAGTCAGCTGTCATGTCATTTGAACTCCAAATTTAATTTCAAAATTTGGTCACCAATTAATAATAGAAGACGCTAATCCCTCGAGCGTAGTTTAATGTACGAGATTCTGATCATGTGATCTAACATTGTTTAGATTTTAAGTTGTANACATGACACCAAATAAAATAATCAAGTCAGCTGTCATGTCATTTGAACTCCAAATTTAATTTCAAAATTTGGTATTAATAATAGAAGACGCTAATCTCTCGAGCGTAGTTTAATGTACGAGATTCTGATCATGTGATCTAACATTGTTTAGATTTTAAGTTGTAACGTGAGATATAAAAAGACTGTTTTTATAGTTGGAATCTTTATCATAATCATTTGTTTATGAGCAATGCTACATGGACTTAAAAAGTAGACTTAAAAAATAGACTTGATAATCTTAACCATTGATTTTACTGTGGGTCCCAGCATTTATTAAGATTCACTACCTATTCAATGGTTGAGATTATCAAGTCTAAGTTTTAAATCTACTTTTTAAGTTCATATAACATTACTCTTTGTTTATTGGATGCATATATATATATATATATATATATAAATATTATGATTGGGTGTATGTAAACCCCATGCAGAGATGGAACCATCAAGCCATGCACACAAGAACTCGTCAGTCATGCCACCTCTACCCAAAGACTCGCGTGGCTCGCTCGAAGTGTTCAATCCATCAACCCACTCCGCCAGACCAGGCTTTGTTCGCCCCCAACCCTCTTGGCAAAGCTGGGTAGAGCCCACCACCCATCCCGAGCCGGAGCTCGCCACTTTCTCATCCAAGTCCGGCAGGTCAAACGCCGGCGAAATCACGTCATGGATGGCTCTCAAGGACCCCACTCCACCATCACCACCACCGTCGCAACATCAACAGCGCCAGTCATCACCAGTCACCCATAAGAGCTTACAGGCAATCATCAACGACCAGGACGGGAAAAAGTCGCCGGCGAAGTCTCAGCCACCGGGGGAAGCTGGTGTCGCAGCACAAAGAGCGGCGGAGTGGGGATTGGTGCTGAAGACAGACACCGAGACTGGTAAACCACAAGGGGTCAAAGTAAGAACGTCCGCCGAAGAACAGAATAATAAGCATGGGAGTTCTCGGAAGGACTCCGGTAATTCAGTGCGAAGCTCCGGTGAATTCTCAGATGATGGAGCAGGTAAGTGCACTGACAAATTTGGGAGGAGAAAAAATATTCCAGGAAAAAAACATAATTTTCAAGAATTAATGGGCTGAAAATTTTACAAATTTGGTTATCAATCAAGAAATTTTGTTACTATTCAGGTAAGGAGAGGGGGTTTCCAAGGGTGTCTGAGGACTTGAAGGATGCATTATCGGCATTTCAACAAACTTTTGTGGTCTCCGACGCCACAAAACCCGATTTTCCGATCATGTATGCAAGTGCTGGCTTCTTCAAGATGACTGGTTACACATCAAGGGAGGTTATAGGCAGAAATTGGTACGACAAACCTTTTGTTTAGTTCTTTATTACTGTTATTACTAATTATCGATTCGTATCACGATTTGAATTTGAATTAGTTTCTTTTTATCGGCAAAAATTATTAATCTATACCATACCCAACTAGTTAAATTTGGAAACGGATAAAAATCGGACAAGATTGTATTTGATACATTTTTGTTGGGTCGGGTCCAGCCGGTTCTTACAGGGTGCAGGTACAGATCCGGAAGATGTGGCAAAGATCAGAGAAACGTTACAGGCAGGGGTTAGTTATTGTGGGAGATTGCTGAACTACAAGAAGGATGGAACACCTTTCTGGAACCTCCTCACCATTTCACCGATCAAGGATGAAACGGGAAAAGTTCTCAAATTCATCGGGTGAGTTTATTTTAATTCAAAATTTCATTCCCGTATAGAAAACCCACATCGATACTCAAGTATCCCAACCCGAGAGAACAGTGTAGGAACCAAATCTTTCATGTTGAAATCTTTCCGGGTATTCATATAACTATATGATTTACGAGTGAGTGATTATATACGTGGTATGTCTTACTTATTCCTTCTCCAAACTCCAAATATTAATTTGGTAGTTAAGTTAATACAAGACATACTAGGGTATTATAGTAATTTGATAAGGTTGCCAAACAAATTTAGTTATAACCGTCATTCTCTGAATTGAGATTCCCCTTAATTAAGTGATAACAGGAATGAGTTATAAATTTAGACGTCTTGAATTTAAATTTTGACAATTTATTGGGGTCAAATTATAAGAAATTTATCTCTTATGAATACTCTAGTTTTAGTGTAGATAGTCAGTCTTTGATCGAATAAAAAAAAAAAATTAATTGAACTGCACGTAAATTGACGTATACATATTTAACTATTAAAAAAAACTTATATTAGAACTTCAGGATAGGTACATTTATTCCAACCATGGTAGATGGTCCCACCACATGGCATTGCATAGAGTATAGATTATCAACAGGAAATCTATTGGATATAAGGGCTAAAGTGTGCTCCATTTCCAGTTGTATAATTTTTATGGGTCCCCAAACACTCTGTCAATGTCCTATCACACCACATGAAACAGGAAGCGCCTCGTCTGGTTCCGTATCACTCCAATAATTTTTACTTTAATTTTCTCCCATCTGGGTTGTCCTCATCCCGGTTCCAATNGGTAATTAAGTGATAACAGGGATGAGTTGTAAATTTAGACGTCCTGAATTTAAATTTTGATAATTTATTGGGGTCAAATTATAAGAAATTTATCTCTTATGAATACTCTAGTTTTAGTGTAAATAGTCAATCTTTGACCGAATCAAAAAAAAAATTAATTGAACTGCACGTAAATTGACGTATACATATTTAACTATTAAAAAAAACTTATATTAGAACTTCAGGATAGGTACATTTATTCCAACCATGGTAGATGGTCCCACCACATGGCATTGCATAGAGTATAGATTATCAACAGGAAATCTATTGGATATAAGGGCTAAAGTGTGCTCCATTTCCAGTTGTATAATTTTTATGGGTCCCCAAACACTCTGTCAATGTCCTATCACACCACATGAAACAGGAAGCGCCTCGTCTGGTTCCGTATCACTCCAATAATTTTTACTTTAATTTTCTCCCATCTGGGTTGTCCTCATCCCGGTTCCAATGCCCTCAAGTTGGAGTAAATATTAGGTCTAATGGTTATATCTTGTTTACTATTATCACGTGATATAATTTGTACAAAGATATTGAATAGATTGTTGATGTATCAGACTCGACCCTATCTTTCGTAGCATGCATTCTTATTCGTATTGCCACTAATTTAGTAAATTACGTGTTCAGTGTACAGAAAATTACCTTCAATCTCCCAAATTGATTTACTCGTGACAACCTTTTGGCCGCCCAAAGACCTATATTATTAGTCACACACTAGGGCTAAGAAGTAAGCCCCACAACCCAAAGCGATTTATTCAAACTCAACGATTAACCACCCTTATACGTAAGATAATAATTATCATATATTCAAAAAATAGAGTTCATTTGTCCATTTGTTTGTTTGTTATTGCTCAGTTACACAACGCGACAATACTGACGTGGTGTAACTGTTACACCCAATATTTACTTAGTTGATTGACAAATTCACCCCCCCTACTCAATTTCAATCGATAATGATGAGATGCACGTGTTAGGCTCTTGTCTAATTTTGCAAGAATAGAAAATTTCTCTAATTTTTGTTTAAACGGGTAAGATTTGTAAACCGTAAGAGATTTGGTTTAATTTGAATTTCAAAAATTTAAAACATTATTTGAATCAATTTAAATTTATTTATGTATATAGAACTTAATCATTCAAAAAGAATTAAAAAATCTTTCAATTGTTATGAAATTAGAGAAGAGCCGAACCCGAGATGTACGGGTGAGGCCCACAAATGGTGGGCGATGGAAATGAGGAAAAAAAAAAGGAAAAATCTTGGAATCGAGAGGGTTAAAATTCCCTTCACAACATACTCATTTGCTAGCTAGACTGGTTCATATAATAGAACAGAAAAAGTGACCCATTTCTGATTGGACTGTTTGTCACCGTCTGATTATGCTAAATCATTGGTTTAACCAATTCAAGAGAATAGGATCTACAAGTAGTCCCATCCTATCCCATTTCAATTATTCCAACTTTTCCTTTGCCAGCTTGGGCCACTCACATATTTTGGGCATTTTGCTAGATTCAATGCTCGACAGTGATGGATTGTGGACCTCTGCATTGGGTTTGGTTTTGATCCGGTCCTATGGTCCATGACCAGATCATTCATTTTCTGAAAACCTTTTTCATATGTTATGCTTTATTGGTTTGTAATAGAAATCTATTGGGATCACTAAACAGTAAACATAAAATAAATAAATAAATAAAAGAAATGAAAACCGAACTACTCCCACTTTGAGAGAATATTATTTTTTGATCAAAGATGATAATCGAATCGAATTTTGTGAGTTCAAACCGAGTCTCTCGAGTTCATTTTTTTAAACAATCCTAAAAAATTGTTAAAACTCATATCGTTTTAAAAAATGAGCCGAATCTGAGGCGAGCCTGAAACAAGTTGAACTCGAGTTAAACTCGAATAGCTTGATTATTTGACATATAAACGAGTCAAATTTTGCAAGAATAAACCGAGCCTTTTTAGACTTGTTTTCTAAGTGAGTCTAAAAAATTATTTAAGTTTGACTCGTTTAAAATACGAGCCGAATTTGGAACGAGCCCGAATAATTTGGCTCAATTATCAGCTCCATTACTAATATATAACTTGGTGCAAAAGTACATAATTTAGATTGTATATATATGTGTGTATATATATCCGAAGAAATGATATATGCCTATTTTTTGAATGACCCATTTGGTATGCTTGAGTTGAGAAATTAATGGGGAATAAAATTATCTATCATTTATCGCTTCCGAATAGTTAAACTTGAATATATATATATATAGTATTCCCATGCATTTGGTACGACCTTAAAGTAAAAATGCATAGTATAAGGGTGGAGTTTTTATATGATTTCTTTGCTTTGCTTTGCGTTGGCAGAATGCAAGTGGAGGTTAGCAAGCATACAGAGGGCTCTAAGGAGCAGATGCTTCGTCCCAATGGCCTGCCTGAATCTCTGATCCGATATGATGGTTTTGCACATNACCCATTTGGTATGCTTGAGTTGAGAAATTAATCGGGAATAAAATTATCTATCATTTATCGCTTCCGAATAGTTAAACTTGAATATATATATATAGTATATAGTATTCCCATGCATTTGGTACGACCTTAAAGTAAAAATGAATAGTATAAGGGTGGAGTTTTTATATGATTTCTTTGCTTTGCTTTGTGTTGGCAGAATGCAAGTGGAGGTTAGCAAGCATACAGAGGGCTCTAAGGAGCAGATGCTTCGTCCCAATGGCCTGCCTGAATCTCTGATCCGATATGATGGTTTTGCACATTTTACATACGCTTCAACTAATTTTCTCTCCATTAAATTAAAAGCAGATAATTCACGTCAGGATTAAGATATTTGTAATGGATAAATCAAATCAAGGAATTATACTAAATTGTTTGCACCATTTTTTTCTGCGTGTTTTATATCATAGAAAATATTATTTAGACCTAATTTGATGATTTAATTTAAGAATCTAATATATTATATTGAAAAAATAAATCAAAAAAAAAAAAATTTACAGTGATATTTTGCTATACCAAGAGCTACATTTTTTGCAGCCCGGCAGAAGGAAAAAGCCACCAATTCAGTAACGGAGCTACTGGAAGCAGTGAAGCAACCACCACGGGCGAGAGCTGTCAGTGAGTCGACCTATCGTCCATTAATTAGGAAATCGGAAAGTGGTACTGAACCAGAGAGGTCCGAAGCTTCTGGCCGGCGAAACTCGGAGACTATGGTTCCGGCTAGACGTAATTCAGTTGGTGGCACTAGAACCACAATGCAGCGAATCAGTGAACTGCCCGAAAAGAAACAGAGAAAAACTGGTCGTCGTTCTTTCATGGGGTACTCATTTTTATCCATAACCTTTTCGTGGTTCAGTTGATGTATTAGATTGTTTTCATGGGTTGGTATATGTATTTGGAAAATGCTATTTGAACCTAAAAATATGACATAATTTGTTGACATAATGACGTAGTTTTATTGAAATCATTGAATTAACACTAAATTTCAATGTTTGATGGAGTCTACAGTTAATTCAAAGATTATAGTGAATTATGTCAGTAAATTAAGTCTAATAACATTATTTAATATATTTTGTTTGCATGCATGGACGTGCATTATTCTATGTATTTTGTTTGCATGCATGGACGTGTACTGTGTGTGGTTCACGTCACTTTGTGAATACTTTATGTCTGTCAAAATGTGTGATGTCTTTTTTTTTTTTTAACTGCATGTTCTACGGTATCAAAAACAAAAAAAAAAAAAATAGTATTGTACTGTCATTTATAATTTTTGTTAGTTTTTTTATCCACCAAATATATATATATATATATATATATGTATATAATTTTTATTTTTTTTTTGTAAAATGACCACAAAAATTATAAAAACACCCATTAAAATTATAAAATTTAGAACAAGGTACCCAAATTTTGTTTTTGGTAGCATAGTCTTCTCCCATGTTCTTATGTGGGATTCCAAACAACAACTCAATGTGTGACAATGGTTTTGTACTTTTTATTATTTTAAATTTCATCCCAAGATCCAAAGGAAAATTTATTTTTATGGATAAATAAAATTGAAGAGAAGAACCACCTGCATTTATTTTTACTTGGCAGTTCCTTGCTAATGGGAAAAAAAAATGCAAAAATCATGTTTTGCAGTAGTATTTTGTATATGTTTATGGATTATAGTGGTATTATTTTGTTGCCATAGGTTTATGAAGAAAAGTCGTCCTAATACTGAAGAAGACGAGTTTGAACTTGGAGTTACTGTTAATGATGATGATGAAAGTGACGATGAGGAGAGGGATGATGAGCGTCCCGATAGTGTTGAGGACAAAGTAAGGCGGAAGGAAATGAGAAAGGGTATTGATCTTGCTACAACACTAGAACGTATAGAGAAAAACTTTGTCATCACTGATCCAAGGCTGCCTGATAATCCCATTGTAAGACTCCTTAGTTTGTTGCCTAACAATAAAGGTGTATTGATCTTGGGATCTTTTCAGCTTATACAAAGATGTTAACTCCTTGTTTGATTAATCTTATGGCTGAACTTTTTAGATATTTGCATCCGATAGCTTCTTGGAGCTGACAGAGTACAGTCGTGAAGAAATCTTGGGAAGAAACTGTCGGTAAGGATTGAAATTTTGATACTTTAAAAATCTTATTATAGCATGGTCTCATAGAAATGGATGTTTTTAATCAATTCCCTTGTGTTGACAGAGGGAATTGATTAAATTTTCCTTTAATGGAATAGATGGATAACAAACTTGATCTAACTGTGGCGCTGTGCCATCAAATGGTAGTGAATAAGTTTATGCATTTGGTTCTATATGGTATGCATACTAGAGATGATAACGAACAACTCATTAAAGTTTGCTTTTTCTTTTTTCATTTCCTTATTTGATAAATGATCAGGGTTGAAGTATAATAAGCCATAGGTAAAGATACTATACTTTTGGAAGGTTAACATTCAAAAACTGATGTTTCTCTCACACACAAGGATGCAAGTAAGGTTGAATCCTGATTTTTGAGAAAAAAGAGATGCGACAAGATGAATTCTTGCATATTTTGGAAAATATGGGGGATTCTGAAACTTCCGGAGGTGGGGGAATAGAAAATAGTAATACATTGGGGAGTCCATTGAGAATTACACAAAAATTGAGGGATGGCAATTTTAATTTTTGAAAGCAAGGGGGCATCCCCCCCC